AAGCAAAAAATCACTTCACTTTTTGTTTATCAATGTGTTTTCCCCGTTGTTCTTTATTGTTCTCCGGTGGTTTTTGCTGGTCTACTAAAGAAAGACTTCAAAATTCTTCGTCGCGGTTTGTTGATCATCAGTCGTGTGTCTTGTATACCCGTTGATGAGCTATCTAAAAAACTGTGTGAACTTCACTTGTCCGCATGTGAAACGTTTGCCCAGAGAATCCTCGCTGACCCCAACCATCCTTTACATGGTGATTTATCTAAATGCTGCTCTCATACGTCGACACGTTCTTCATATCGATTATTACCCTCTCGCATTAGTCTCTACAGAAATTCCCCAGTTCCCTATCTTGCCAGAATCCTTGTAAACCGAGAGCGCGTTTCCTGAGAATTTCACAGTAACATTAGAGGCTAAATATTTTACTTGTATCTCTCCTTCTATTGATGAGATGTGTAAATTTTTGCCTGAAAGTCTATACAAATACAAATTACTCTTTCGTCATCTGCTATATTTCGTTTCTTGATCGAGGCAGAGACTTGGGAATGCAAGATAGACGTAGAATAAGTTAGAAAGAAAACATTCTAAGTAGCCAATCAGTCACCATTTATTGAAAATAGTTTTTCTTGCGGCCTGTTCTTTTTTCTTTTTAAATGTTTGGCTAACCAGCCGCCCCGGGTTTCTTTATCCCCGGTTATCCTCAAGACGATTTGGTTAGACATACGGATATGGATATCAGAAAAACATGTGAATCACACCCGGGGTCCATCTGCCTGTCAGCACTCAGCCGAAGTGTTGAGTAAAACAGTTAAAATCCGCAAAACTCAGATCTATCCAGGTTTATCACTATGTACTGCAAAAAGATTTATGGTACAGGAGGACTAATGACTTGAAAAATAGACACAAATTATTATTCTCCATTTCAATGATGAATGTAAAACCTCTCCAACGATTTATTGAACGATCAATTTATCTAATCTACAGTACCAAATCGAGCTGGAACTCTCAACTCAATTTTTCATGTGTGTTTTGTTTTTCTGGCAGATTTGTCCCAATCGTTCAAAGCGGCTTGTACACAAACGTTCATTTCGACTACAATTTTCCCGTGCAGCTGATGTGTTGAATGAAGAGATTGCCCAGTTTTTTGGGGCTAACCATATCGATCCGACTCCGGGCGAGAAATTCAAAGACATATTTCGGTCAATCGAACGTTTGTATCCGGAACGAATGAAAACTATTCACGATCTGCATGTGTTCCGTAACCAGTGTCTCAATCGATACCAGGATGTGCTTAAAAAAGGAATTTGAATCAAATGAAAGTGCAATATGTACTGGCTAGATATTCTTTTACTGAATTCGAACACTGACATTCATCTGAAAAATCAATAAAAAGTTAAACTTGTGACTAATGATGATTTCGTTCATATCCGGATCTTTGACATCATGGATCAACTTCAGTTTTTGGTCCTGCTACTCAATTTCAATTATTCGAAATAGTCCAAGAGCACTAACATAAGTGAAGGACAACCCAACTGAATACGTCACGCACCCGGGTGGTTATTTCATGCCGATTGGCTAAAGATCACACATCATGGATACGAATGAGAAATGTTAACTCCAGTAGGGGATGCGAGATAAACCGGAGAGATTGATTTCCGATTGTATTCAAAGATTCAAAGATTTATTATGGGAATAACTTAAAAGCTCATGCTTTTCTGGTCCCATAGGTTCG